GCAACAATGAATGAATGGAATTCCAAAATCTCTGTGGATGTTCATTGAAATGAAAAATAAACAAACTAAATTTAAAAAAAAAAAGAGGGAAAAATCTAAACAAATATATAACAAATATTTTTGAACAATATAATCTTTTATGTTTAAGGTTAGACATATTAACAATATGATCATTTCCAATCCAGAGATACATGTTCCAATGCAGTTCCTGTTTTCCATAAATGGTTTTGGTAAGAAGAATATTGTAAATGTGGATACAGTTCCACTATTCTTCCTCCTTGCCATGATATAGTGTTATTAGCATGAGCAGTTATAAATCCATTGCCTTCCTTACTCTAACTAAGTTTAAAATATTTTAAACAACCTGTTTTTAAATGAGCCATTCAAACTTAGTGCTGATGAATTGGGTCAGACTCATAGTGACCCTCTGTTTAGTTTATTAAACACTTTTATTGACTGGACATACAACAGTAGGAAACCAACTTTCTCCCCTGGAGCTGCTGGAGGATTTGAACCACTGGAGGTACACATACTTTGGGTTAGCAGTGCATCTTGATATGAGCTAAGCCACCAGAAGTCTCCAGTGATTCAGTAGTTTTCTGATAAGTAATGAGCCTGTTATTACAATAAAGAATTTCCTTTAAAGCATGACCCTTACTTTAAAACTTAATGTTTAATAGGGAGCTCAGATATTTTTGCACAAACTTTTTAGTTATTGAATAAAATGAGTTATGTTAGAAGGATAGTTTATTCTGCATGGTTAGAAAGAAATCACATCACTTGATACTCATCAATAGGGTAACAAAGTAAAATATACTGAAATAAGTTCTAGTGAGAGGCTTCATACTCTTAAAAGAATTAAGCATACCTTAATTTTTGTTTTACATTCTTGATTTTAGCAGTACCAATATCTGACACATGGATTAGATAGTATTCTCAGTTTTTAATTCCACCTGACCCTGGGAAGTACCAGAACAAATGAGTAAAACCAGCCATTTGAAAGTTAAACATACTGTCAAAGGTCAGTATAGGTGGCACCTCAACATCAAGAAAACAAAGGTCCTCACCACAGGACCAACAGTCAATCAATACCATGGTAGATGGAGAAAACATTGAAGCTATCAACAGTTTCATCTTCCTTGGAACAGCAGTCAACACGTTTAGTACCAAAAGCCAAGAAATCAGGAGACATATTTCCCTGGGCAAGTCTGCTGTCAGGGACCTCTCCAGAATGCTGAAGAACATTGATGTCACTTTGAAGACTAACATGCACCTAATTCAAACCATAGTCTTCTCAGTTACCTGCTATACATTGAAGAGCTGGACAGTGAATAAGGATGACAAAAAATTGGTACCATTGAGTAGCTGTGTTGGAGAAAGAGTACAGAATATCCCATAGATTGACAAGAGAACAAACAAATATGTCTTGGAGAGGATGCTGCCAGAGTACTCCATAGAGTCAAAGATGACAAAGCATCATTTTTTCATACTATGGTCATTTAGGTAGGTGAGGCTGTTCATTTGAGAGGGACATTACGTGAAGAAAGATGGGAGGTCTGCAAAGGAGAAGACAACTCCTTAATGAGATGGGTTGACATGGTGACTTCAGCAGTGGGCTTGAATGTTTCAGAGATGATGAAATGACACAGGATAGAGCAGGGTTCAGATTAGCTTTAATAGGGTCCCTATGAGTTGTGCTTGACTTGATGGCACCTAACAACAAGAAGGTCATGTTAGGGATCTCTGGTGGGTCTAGTGGTAAGGAATTGTACTGCCAAACCAAAGGCATGAGATTTTAATCCACCAGTTGGTATTTGGGAAAAAGATGGGCATTCTCCTTCCTTACAATGTAATACCTCTGAATACCCACCAGAGATTCAGCTATGAGTCAGTTCCAGCTCAGTGGTACACTACGACAAGGTTATGTAGTGTGTAAAAGGTGGCACTAGGATCTAATCCAGGCTTCAACTCCAGAGTTAATTCTCTTCACCACTGTGTTAACGAACTTCTTTTCTAATTTAGAAGTATGTTGGTAAGAAATTACTAAAATTTTCCTGAGCTTTAATGGCATACATGTAGTAGAGAGTTTTTTTGGGGGTTGCGTGTTGTGTGGTGGGAACAATTTTAGATACTTTCCATATGAGTTTTAAATAAGTGAAATATTTAACAACCAAAAGCCTCAGTCAGATGTTCAAGCTCCAAATGTTTTATAAATCCCAAGTTGTATGAGATGGATATAAGGAATTAAATGGTGGAAGTAAGGTCTACTTGCAGTTCTCAAGTAACAGTACTCATGGACTGGTAGTGGGGGAGGGGGAAGATATCCATAGCAGGATAGGTTGCATGAGTTCAACAGTACTCTCTTACTTGTCCTGTCAAACTCTAAATATTAGGGAATAGCACATGTTTGGAAAATAGCTGCTGAGGTCACGACCTGGGGTAAGTTCTCAGTCCATAACCAGCATCAGGGTTTGGTCTGTAACTGGAGTAAAAACCCAAGGAATTGTTCAAAAAGACTTCCTGGGAAAGAATTCATAGAGAGCTGCTGAGTTGCTCTCTGTGTGAAGAATAACTTTTCAGGGAGTATCGTTGTGGAATGGACTTCAGATGCTATCACCTAACTACCCACTCATGCTAGAGTTCCCATTCCATGTTTTTAGTTCCTCTGTTAGCTTTCTATTTCTGGGAAGTTCATTTATCACTGCCTTTCTCTCTTTGGTTTCAGGGCTGGACTCCTTGCCACCAAACCAGGAGGCTATGTCGTCTATTCCACCTGTTCACTTTCACAGTTACAGAATGAATATGTGGTGCAAGGAGCCATTGAACTTCTGGCTAATCAGTACAGCATTGAGGTTCAGGTTGAAGACCTGACCCACTTACGAAATCTCTTCATGGACACATTCTTTTTTTCCCCATCCTGCCAGGTGGGGGAGCTGGTAATACCAAACCTCATGGCCAATTTTGGGCCTATGTACTTTTGCAAACTGCATAGGCTAAAATAATATCACCCTATCTCTAAGACATGGTAAGGAAGACAAAGGAGGACGGTGGAAACTGAAACCAGAAATGCTTTCTGGATTCTGTCTCCATTCTATTCATGTCTTTTTTGCAGATAGCTTTCAGCCAACTATAAGTTTGACTGTCCTGCTTTCTACTTGTGGACTATCAGCAGGTTTTTAACTCATTCACATTTTACCTCCTACCTGTCTGCAAACTTATCGGAGGGTTGGGAAGAAGGGCCAGTGATCTGTGAGTCTGGCCACACAATGCTGGAAACTTGGAGAAAGCATTTCATTACTTAAATTGTTGAAGCTCCTTAGAGCTGGTACTATTGAAGGCCAAAGATACTATTGAAGGTACTGTGTGAATCCAAATACAGTTGGTTCCATTTGTATGAAAAGCTGTTGCTAAATGGTAGTTCCTAGGACTATCTGCCCTCAGTTCAGAATTTCAGCCTGGTTACAAGCCTCTGGTCAGAACCTCCCTCATATTTGGTTTTCATGTAACCACTCTTGAGCAGCCTGCAGGCCCCAATAAGCCTACCTAGTTTCTTCGAATGGCCCATGATGTAATTTAAGGAACAAGTATCTAAAAAAGTGCTTAAAAATAAAAATGAAAAAGAAAAGTAGTTGCTTGCTATGCATCAGAGAGGTGGACAATGACCAGGGATGATAGAAAGAATTGATGCCTTTGAGCTGGTGCTGGAGAAGAGTTGAATAAACCATGGACTGCTAGGAGAACAAAGAGGTTCGTCCTAGAGAGGGTGAAACTAGGCTGCTCCTTGGGGTCAAGAATTCCTCTGACATACTTTGGGCATGTTGCAAAAGAGACCATTTTTGGAGATTGACATCATGCTTGAAACGGTGGAGGGACCTCAGAGAGAGGGAGACCCTCCATAAGATGGATTGATTCAGTGACTGGGGTAATGAGGTAAGTGTGTCAGAGACAGTCAAGTTGTCACAGGATAGAGCAGACACATAGGGTCGCTATGAATCACAAGCGATTCAACGGCACATAACAACAACAACATCTAAAGAATTTTATTAACTAGCCAATATATAATAATCTGTTTATATAACTCACATTGGGAAGACTCTCTTGGGCTGAGTTACTACAGCAGTTCTTCCTGCTATCACGAGCATTGCTGCTGATGTATGACTCAAAAAGCTGCTCCTGCCACAGGGTTGCCATATTTTGTGAATTGCTTTCTTTGTTCATTTTTCTAGCAAGTATCTTTGAGCTCTTGCTGTATGGACAAGTAGTTAAGATGTTGCTGCCGAGATGTAGCCATTGAGATGATCAGTGCTTGTTCTTCAGAATGGCAGATCTCATCCTGCATTTTGAACACTTTGGAATCCCTTAATATTTTTGCCTTGATTTTGTTTTCTCTGTCTCTCTCTGTGTCTCGCTCTCTCTGTCTCTCTCTGTCTGTCTCTCTCTCTCTATATATATGTGTGTATATATATATGTGTGTGTGTATATATATATATATAATCTCCATATGTATTTTTTGGTTCCTGGATTGTGACTGAACCCTGGGGCCAGTTCTTTGGCCACTTTTATTTAAATCCTACAGCCCTTACCTCAGCATCGTGGAGTGTTCAGGGATAGTATTGCATCATTTACTGATTGTGTGTTAGCTGTTTTAGTAATTCTTACCAAAAAAAGAGTATTCCTTTAATGGCAGGAATATTAAAAATATTCTAGTCTCTTACAAATACTGCTTTTTTAAAAAAAAATCTTAATTCTTTTTTAGAACGAGTGCTCGTGCATAATTTTAGAATACTTGATAGTTTCCTGGTTCTTTCTAATTCTCTTATCCTTCCTTTTCTTCTTTCTGCTACTTTCCTTGTCCTTTATGCTTTCCCTGCTAATCCTCCTTTGGGTATTAGAGGTGTCAGCTGAGAAATACTTTAGGTGAGGTTAATCTTTCTCCTTTCTTGGGATTTGCATTTTAACTAAGGACTTTAGAAGACCTAGACTAAAATCCAGTGGAGCTGGATGGATCCCCAGGGAGGCTGGTTGGTTCTCTGAGTAAGACCCTAATCAGTCTCTCTGTAGCAGGTAGACCCTGCCTCCTTTTTACTCTATACTAGTATCTGAGGCTGGGAGGCCTGAAATACCTAGCTTTTGATAGAAGGCTAACCAATAGTAATTAAAGAGGAAAGAATCTACTGTTCTTGGGCTCACAGTCTAACTAGTGATACACTCAGTTAAGAAAAGCAGAGAACTACTTTGGGGAATTGATCATCTCTTGTAATTGAACATTTACCTCCCCTGTAACACCATCATTCTAATACTAGCATAAATCAAAGAGAAACTCGTCTCTTTACACTAGGAGATACACAATATTTGCAGCAGCTGCATTGACAAGAGCAAAAACCTGGATATAAGCCAAATGAATATCAACAGAAGAGTGGATGAATGAACTGGAATAGTCCCACACTAAAATACAGCTGTCATAACAACTGAACTGTACCATTATCTAATAATAGGACTGAATCTTAACAATAAAATACTTTTAAAATGTAGATCCTGTATAGCATGCTATTTGTTATGTCTTGAACTGTGTCCCTTCCCTGAAAAGATGTGTTACAAATTCTAACCAGTAAGTCTGTGGATGTAATCCTATTTTCAGGGAGTGAACTGTGTCCCTTCCCTGAAAAGATGTGTTACAAATTCTAACCAGTAAGTCTGTGGATGTAATCCTATTTTCAGGGAGCCATGGTGGCTTAGTGGTAAGGCATTGCACTGGCAAACCTAAAGGTAAGTAGTTCAAAACTGCCAGCTGTTCTAGGGAAGAAAGACAATCTCTTCCCTTGTGATTTACAGCCTCAGAAAACCTGCTGGTGGGTCAGCAATGAATTGGTTCCAGCTCAATGGTGCATAACAATACCAACACCAATCCTACTATGAGATATCACCTCACCCCAGCAGCAAATTTCAACAAGGCAGCAACAACAAATGCTGGCTGTGTATAGATTTGAACTCTTTTTACTGCTGGTGGGAATGTAAAATGGTACATACAGCCATTGTGCAAGGCAGTCTGGTGCTTTCTCAAAAAGTTGGAAATAATAATACCATTGGACCCAGCAATTCCACTACTCAAACAGATGTATGCATGTCCATATTTATTGCTACATTATTCACTATAACAAAGAGATAAAAACAACCTAAGTGTCCATCAACAAACAAATGGATAGAGAAAAATTATGGTACGTTCACACAATGGAATACTATGCAGCATTGAAAAACAATGAAATAGTAAAACAGTACTCATCGTGGGGGAGTCTGGAGGACATTTTGCTGAGAGGATTATCTCAACCACAAAAAGAAAAATACTGCCTAACACAACTTATAAAATAGAACAGACATGAGGGGATTGGGGAGAATGGGCTGAGAGTAGATAGATAATGAACACTGAATTAGAACAGATGAGGGGAAGAACTGTTCCAAAGGAATATATGATTATGCATTGTATGTATAACAACAGTCTGAAACGGGTTCATTGTGGGGTGGGAGAAAATTGTTATGTGCCATTGAGTCGCTTTTGACTCATAGCCACCCTATGCACAAGAGTCCTAAACGCCGTTCTATCCTGTGCCAACCTCGCCATCACACACTCATTCCCACCACTCTACTCACAGAATCGATCCGTCTCAAAGAGAGCCTTCCTCTCCTGCGCCGCTCTTCCACTCTCCCAAGCATGATGTCCCCCTCCAAGAACCAGTCCCTCCTTGTAACATTCCCAAAGTATGTCAGACGAAGCTTCAGAAACCTTGATTCCAAGGAGCATTCTGGCTTCACCCTCTCCAGGACAGACCTGTTTGTTCTTCTAGTAGTCCATGGTATATTCAACACTCTTCTCCAATACCACAGCTCAAAGGCATCAATTCTCTATCATCCCTATTCACTGTCCAACTCTCCGATGCATAGCACGTAATTGCAAAGACCATAGCCTGGATCAGGCGCACCTTAGTCTCCATCTTGATGTTGTTGCTCTTCAGTACTCTTGAGAGGTCCCTCACAGCTGACTTTCCCAATGCAATTTGTCTCCTCATTTCCTCGGTGCTATTACCAAGAGTGTTGGCAGTGGAACCAAGTACATTAAAACTGTTAACTATTTCAATCTCTTCACCATCCATACTGATGCTGCCAGTTGGCCCAGTGGTGGGAATCTTTGTTTTCTTGATGTTGAACTTCAATCCATGTTGAAGACTGCAGTCCTCGACCTTCTGCAGCAAGCACTTCAGGTCCTCCTCAGTTTCAGCAAGCAGCGTTATGTCATCTGCATAACGCAGGTTTTTGATGATTTTTCACCAACCCTGATGCCATATTTCTCCTCGTACAGCCCATCATCTTGGATGATCTGTTCTGCATACAGATTGAAAAGGTATGGAGACAAAATGCATCCCTGACGGACCCCCTTCCTGATTTTGAACCATCTGGTGTCTCCCTGCTCTGTTCTGACGACTGCTTCTTGGTTCAAGTATAGGTTTCACATTAGCACAATCACATGTTCTGGAATTCCCATTCTTCTCAGAGTCAGCCATAGATTGTTGTGATCCACACAGTCAAAAGCCTTTGCATAGTCAATGAAGCACAGATAGACATTCTTCTGGTATTCTCTGTTTTCTGCCAAGATCCATCTAACATTAGCTATAATATCCCTAGTACCACGACCTCTTCTAAATCCAGCCTGCACATCTGGCAGTTCCAAACGTTCTTGGATCATTTTCAGCAGAATCTTGCTTGCATGTGATATTAATGATATTGTTCAATAATTTCCACACTCTGTTGGGTCACCTTTCTTTAGAATGGGAACAAATATTGATCTCTTCCAGTCAGTTGGCCAGCTGGCTGTCCTCCAGATTTCCTGGCACAACTTAGTGAGCACATCCAGGGCAGCATCTATTTGTTGAAATAAATCGATACAGGCTAGGATTTACGGTAATGTTTTTAGAAATACACAGAATTTGCAGAATCACTATACCAAAAAGTA